TCCTCTCCTCTCCTCTCCTCTCCTCTCCTCTCCTCTCCGTGTCTGTCAGCAGTACCAGAGAGCATTTCCAGGGCAAATGGACAACTTTAGTGACTCCTACTCCTCTTCCTTCCCAGGAACCTTCATCCTGCCCACTGCTGGGCAGATTCTGCTGACTACAGAAACAAGATGACTTGACTGAAAACCAGAGATATGGTGAGTGAACTTGCAGAAGGAAGTTGGTTACAGAGAAGATTTCAGAGTGCTGGTGGACCAAGTAAAATGACCTTTCTCCAGCCTGACAGTTCAAATGTAATTATTCCAACAAATTATTTTCATGACTTAATATAACGCCTTGCAGCTTTCTAGCAAGGTTAATTAGATTCTTCAATTCAAAACCTCTCTGCTCTTAACCAACTTTTAATATGCTGAAATCCAGTTTTCTAAATTCAAACTAATAAAAGTGATTAGCTGACAGCTATCTGGTATGCTACAATTACCATGGCATTTAGACCTCAGGCATAAGATATTTAATGCAAATCAGAGTCAATGTCTCTGCCCATTTGTCCTTTTTCAGATTATTTGATCAATGTGCCATATGAATCCTGTGCAGTCCACTCTACCATTCTAAACAACTAAAGAACAAGGGCAGAGGTATTGCTTGAGATAGTTAACCGAAGTTGAAAGACTCTTTTTTCCCTCCCACACTTAATTTGTTCTTTCCACATGAACACAAAGTTACTGAAAGGCACTGGCTGACAGCTCAAGTAGAGATGGGTATTTAGTTCTGACATAGCCAGAATTAGTATAAAACTCCTGGCCTGCACTGCCAGAAAGTTTCATCCACTGTGACTCCAGAGACCCAGGGAGGAACCTGGGCTGGAGCAAACCTAGGAAGATGAGGGCAGCCTACCTCTTTCACTGTACCTAAGCATAAAAAGCAGTTGTGCTCCAGCATTCTGTATTTTGTTAGATAGAAATTATCCCAGAAGGCTGTATGGGGCACAGCATGCTTAGGGAGCTGAGAAGATGTTCAGCCCAGCACATGGTTCTTTGGCACATCAGGAATGCCAAGGCTGGACACCACCTCAGAGATGAACTTCAGTGGCACACAGTACATTAGGAGATCAATCAGGTACAGCTGGTAATTACACATGACCTGCCCAGGGTAGGACTAAGGTTGTTGTTTGATTTTTCCACAGTGCATCATGCATGACTATTCCATCTTTGATTATGCTACTGTTTATATAAATAACACTGGCAAAATTTCTGAGTGCTTTGAAGCCTCCTTTCCATTTTCTCGTCTCCTGCTGAATTAAGAGCTATTGGCATAGCATTGGTCTGACCTCCCATCTGATAACCAAATTGATGACCTAATAAGGAGAGACTTTATGTTCCCACCCTTTCAGCTATGCATCCCTCTTGGGTGAAGAAATTTTGATGTACCATCTCTCTCAAACAGAGCAGAGCAATCTTAGTCATACAATATTAGACTGCAAAATTTCAGCTTTGCAGCTTCATAAATACAAGTGGTAAACAAAACTAAAGCTTCACTTCAGGAAGCAATTTCCGAGCTGTGAGGAGAATTAATCACTTGAACAGCTTATCAGGATAGGTGGTTGACTCACTATTGCTCGAAGTTTTTAAGATAAGATTAGATCTTTTTTTTTTTTTTTTAAGTCATGATTCAATCATGTTTCTGGGAGAAACTAAGAGTAGGACATTAGCCAGTATAATGGCAAGGTCCCTTCTGACCTTGGAGCTTGTGAATCTTCTTTGTTTATCTGCCTACCTTCTTGGGCTGAAAGGAGAACTGAATGGGCTTTGGTCTATCAACCAACTCCTGCCACACAGTTCTGCATTAAGAAAATTGCTGTAATCAGATCTCATGCTTCAGGGCTTCAGCCATTTGCCTGAAGTTTCTCCCTCTTGCCTGCCCAGCTAATGGCTAAGTACATGTTATGTTTATTTGGCTGTAGCTTCATGTTTAAAACATCAGAGAGTGAACCCAAATGGCTATGGGCAGAGATAAGTCAAAGGCAGCAACACAGAAAATGCTCCCTGGTTATTTTCTATTCAGTTAGCCATTTCTGTTCACACCTCAGATCTTTGATAGTCATCAATCCGGATGACTATCAGTGTTTACAGAGAAGACATTTTGATTATTAGGGCGCAGCCCACAGAAGGTTATAGGTACTGATAGAGAATTGGGACTGATACTAACCCCACCTAAAAGGGCAATGTTTGTTTGATGAGAACGCCTTAATCTTCTCATATTATCAGATCCTTGCCACTGCAAGATCCTTGTTTGTTAGTGAAACTGTGGTCCCACCCGCTTTTTGATTAAACCGGACCATGAAAATTTCCTTAAGCCAGAAATATTTTGGTCCAACCAAACTCTATAGCAAATACACCTGGGGGCAATCTAAATAAATTTTTAAGAAATGATGACATAAAGGAAGATAAAGGACACAAAATGAATGACCTGCCCCAGTCTTTAACTCCACAAACTACAGCAGTTTGTTTCATAATAACATCATTACCCAAGCCTGTAAGAAACCAAGCACACAGGCAGATCCATCGATAGTGCCCAAGATTCTTGCTTTCAATGCAGAGTTCAGAGACCTTATTACCTGTGTTTCATGTAAAGGCAAGATATAATTCTACACCTATAGATGCCTAAGATAATTATACTCTATACCACTTAAGAAGGAAATTAGATGCTTATCTTTTTCCCGGTAAGGAAGATGACACTGTTATGAACCAATCAGTCCAGATTTGTCTTACTTGTATTTGTTGGATCCAGTTCTGGGTCCCCATGTGTAACCAACCTGATTGACTCAAAATGGATTTCCTTTTAATCTGTGCCAGCACACAGAAAATGAAAATCCATGCCTTGGAAGCAGAACACATTTACACTGCCAGATTTTTTTGCAGCTGCAATGAGAAGGGATGGGGCAGGCAGGCACAGCAGCAACCGCACCTGAATTCAGACTGGTAGCCTGGAAGCTGGGGACAGATGGTGTGAAAATGAACCAGACACTGAAAAATTCAACTTTATATCCAGTAAGACTATAAACATACAGTGAGTGAGCATGAGATTTATGCTGAAATTACAGAGGAATTCCTATGGATGATTACACTTCCAGCCCAAGCATGGAAAGCACATCCATCAGCACGAGTGTCACTACGTTACCAGTGCAGCTGTCAGGCCTGCCATTACTGATCCCAGTAAATACAGAAGAGGGCCACAGACACTTGTGACATGGCTCACCAAAGTAGTCATCAGAGGGAGGATTCTCCATGTCATACAGCATTTTCTTGGTCAGATGTTCCAGCTCATCCTCAGGCCTGAAGGCAGGAGTGCTTGATGCAGGTCCAGAGCTTGGATACCCACTCTGAAAAAAAAAAAAAAAGAAAAGCCTATGATGTGGTAAAAAAGCATCCAAGCATCCACACAGTAAGGGGTCCATATTGGCTGTTCAGTGTTGAACATCATTCTTTGTCTTATTTTTCTTAAGACCCAAGGGATTCAAGCAAGTAAGCACCTTACTTAATGTAATGAAAATGGACTCTGAAGAACATCAAGTGAAGTACTATATATCCTCCTAGAATGGGAAGTATCCTGTGCCTCATAATTAGATGTCTACTGGGTAGCACATAATAATAAATAAAGCAGAAGATTATTCCAAGAATAACATGATATAAATGTTCTCCAAAACTAAAAAAGGCATTGGAAGCATTTAAGTTTGGACTTGGTAGAAGTTTCCATCACTTAACAACACAACATAAAAGATAATTCTACAGTGGTAGAGTATATGGACAAAGACAGATAATCCCAAGCTCCCAGTTACTTTCTCTTCTTGTTTGTTTCCACACAAATCCTGCTGTTAACATTAGTGAGATCAGGAGCTGGTCCACAGGATTCTAGTACTAGAGATACAAAGGTTTTAATACATGTGTAGAAACTGAGATCTCTTGACCTTCATAAGCTAACAGCTGCATACTGTATTTGCAGCCTGTCTCAGAGAGTCTCCTTCCTGGAAAACACCAGAAGTATGGCATATTTTGAGAAGCATAGAAATTGTCCTATGCCTAGAAGTTTCTTAGAAGAAGCTAAGTTTGGTGTCCATAAGGAGAAACTCAGTCATTTAAGGATTAAAAAATGCTGACACCAGCTCTCCTTGTGTGCCCTGCTTTCTTGGAAGACTTGCATATGAAAACTAACTTATTTATAAAACACATCATTTCAGCAAAGCGAGTGATTTAATTGATTAATTGCTGCCTACATCAAGGATTGGACCTTTGATATGAAACAAGGAAACATTTTTTCATTCTCCTTAACTACTAAAATAGCAAGAAAATGTAAAATCACTGGAGAAACAATACACTGACCACTTCTAGGGACTACATGTGACATGATGAATCTTTATTGAACTAGTGATGTTCAATAGCAAACAGTGGCTTTAAAGCACTGCACTTCGAGAGAATTAACTATATGCTGCCATGCTTTTTTCTGTCAGGCAAGAAGGAGATTTCAAATGATACATCAATCAATTAGAGAAGGTCTCAGAACAGCACTTTGCAATAATACTTCAATCATTCATTCCCAAAACCCAAACACCTGCATGTTCCTGATGCCATCATACTTACTTTTCTAGGCTAAGCTGAACCATCACCCTTCTCACTTGTCCAGAGTAGGTGCCTGTGCTCCCTGTAAGGGCTGGATTTGCTGTGCACATACTCAGTGCAGCAGCTGCACCCTCTGACTGCCCAAAGCCACTCTGTAGCAGAGTAGCAGCAGTTCACAAGGGAGAGGGGCAGCATGGTCCCCTAGGGAAAAAAGTGTACCTGGAATAAGCCCCAGGCTGGATGAATTTCCTTGAAAGGCTGTTCAAGGTCTGTTTGCCACAAATTCAGCTTCTTTGACTGAGAACCAATATTGGACCTAGCATACATTCAGGTTTTCCCACAGATGTTTTCTTTTTCTTTTTGCTTATGAATTTTTTTTCTGAACAACATTTAAGGATTTTGTGCACTTCTCCAGGAATTCTGGTTGCCTAGCAGCTGTCCTGAGGAAACTGTTGAGCATCTGGAAATGCTGAATGTCCACATAAGAGCAGTAAACTTTTTTGTACAAATGCAACCATGCTGATGTGTTTGAGTTATCAAAACCTTTTTCACATGGGGAGGCAGGCAGTATGGTACACCTGCATTTGCCTTCCAAGTCATGTAAGTGTCATCTCTGTGGGATACATATTTTGGAGTGGATAAGGCCATACATTCGACCAGAAGTTCTAGAAGCAGGTATTTGACCCAGAACACCCAGACTCCTTTGGCCAGATCTTTGTGACTTTTTTTAGAAGGGCTAGTCTACGACTACTTCATTAGAATTAATATATAACATCATCCTAAAAAAAAAAAAGAAAAGTTTATTAATAAGTCAATTAGAGGTGTCAAATGCAAGACAATCTTGGAACAACCTGTTTTTTCCCTTTGCTCTCTTGTTCCTAAAAGCTGATCACAAATCTTGCCTGAACATATATTTTAACACAGCAAGTGCAGCCAAGGATTTATTAGCTTGAGAAATCAATCTGGCAACTGAGCTTCTTGAGGTCCCATTCCAGGTGTTGTACCTATTTCAGTTTCCATGCAGAAAAGCATGACCACTGCCATTCCATCAACAGAGACTCTTTTCCTAGACTTGGCATGGAGGAGACAGCACGGTCTGAAGCTGATGATGGCCCCCATCCCTGTATTTCCCATTAGTCATCACCAGCCTCTTCTGCTGGGCTCTGTCCACACATCATCTGAAACACTGCCTTTACCCTTGGGCCCTGTAATATAAATGGACCAAAACAGAAGGCACAAGCCACAGACTGTTCACAAAAAAGGTCAGTGAGCTATGTGGAGCTGAAGAGATTTGCCCAGCATCACACGTGGGCTCTAAGGCAAAGACAAATCCTGCACCCAGGCTGCTGGGAGCCCCACACTTTGCAGCCTCAGACCTACACTGGACACTCTGCAACCCAAAGCCACTGCACCTGCAGGCCACCACAGCCAAGCTTTGGCAGGAGGTGAGTGAAGCCTCAGAGGGGAGGCCCTCTTTTCCATGCTGACTTCCCATACCTCCTAACTAGAGAACCCTCCATAACTAATTCATAAGGGCTTGGACTAGGCCCTTTAAACTGAAAGACCAAAATCTGCAGATTTTCAGTTTTGTCTGGCTCTCTTTGGTTTTGGAGGCCACAATAAATAGGCTGCTCTCGTATTTTATCTACATTGCACTTTTCCAAACCAGGCAGATTTCCTATCCAGTACCCAATGTCAGCAGAAATAACAAATACCAACCACAATGTTATGAGACACTTTAACTTATTTTGACTAAAATGCTATGCCTTTTTGACCAGCATTCAGGTAGTGCTAGGCACATCTTTTTCCTCCTCCCATGGCACATGCTGACTACGTGACTCCAGGAAAATGCATTTCATGCATATGAACATGCTGTTTGCTGGGACATGCACACAAACATAGAGAGGAAAGCGTATCCTTAGTCCAATATAAAATGCTTGTTTCAGCAAAACAGTTTCCTTCCTCCTCCTTTGTTAGGTCACGGTAAAAATATAACTCCGGCTTTCCTTACAAAACAGAGTTGTGGTGTTGTTGTTTATATTAAACTTCCTCTATTTTCTCCTGATCTGAACAATAATCAAGGCTGCCTAGAAATTCAATGTGCTGTCTGATCTACCAGTTAACTTCATGCATTCTCTTTTCTTCATGATGCCTCAATGCACACAAATATCCACTTCCTTAGCTAGACACAGGTCAAAGAAAGGGACTGCATTGACTTGTAGACCCCGAGCACCATTGTGTCTGGTTAACCACAGAAGCATCAGGGATGATAAACTGACCCACAAAAATGGAACAGAGCTCACAAAAAGCTGGCAGGAGGGGCTATGCTTTGGAAGAACAGGCACCCGAGTGCCTCCTTTGCTACTGTCATCAAACACTGAGCAACTTCAGGGAAGAGAAGATTGCAGGAGCAAGCTCAGGAAGAGAAGAGGATTGCAGTAGCATGTGCAGATACAAAAGCATTCCTAAATAAATACTATCCTGGATACTTTGCTGAGATGTTAAGGAAATCACCAGCACTTCCAGGGTTAAGTCCTGTAGCAGAAAGTATCTTCATGCTACAAAGGAAGTGAGCTAATTGCTTGTGCCACTATCAAAATGCTGCAACAACATCTGGCTCATCTTCCTTATTAAAGTTCAGTTCCTGAAAAGCCAGGTCAAAAGAAGCAGTCGTGTGGAATCACTGCATAATTATTTTGGTACACAAAGCTGATACTTGTTTCAGTGCTTCCCTGGCACATGTTTTCTACTCCAGACCTGTCTCAGATGTAAGGGCTGCCCAGGGAGCTCTGCAGTCAGTCTGGTGCATTTGCCAACAAGAACCTTCCTCATTCCCACATAAATATTTACCCATATGGGTAAAAACTGCAGTGCAAAATCTGCAAAGATATATGAATATGATGCTGTGATGAATGCACCATCATTCAGAACACACTGTATGTGGTCATTTTTCTTGTCCATTTGAAAATATTGTCGAAGAAGCTTCTTCTCTCTGGGAGAAAATAACTTCAATTACGTGTTCTCAGTTAAAGAAACGTGGAAATTATCTTCTTTTCAGAAGGTAGCGGTAGCTGAATTTGGAATTGAAAGGCAGCCAGAAACATCTTTCACTGATAGTTACTTTCTCTTCATTTTTTTCCTCCTGCTTCAACTGCAAAAAGTTAGTCCTCTCACTTCACTCACCAAAACTAATCGTCAGTTAAAAAGTATTGCAGCATAGTATTTTGTTTAATGGTTTGACAAAGACCACATTTTTTTTAAAGTTATTGACTGTCCGAAACAATTGCAAACTTTCAGAGCAAGAAATCCAGCATAGTGCCACATCTCTCATGAGTTGTGCTCCCAAGGAAGTATCAAGATTGCCTACAGCTGTAATTCAGTTTATAATTAAGGCCAACTCTTACAGAGTAGATGCACTAGCAAAAATATTTCAATTCTTGATTTATTTTCCCAGTGAAAGGTTACAGCTGCCAGAGTACATAAAGATTCCTGAAAAGAGGATTCTGCCTGGAATCCTTGCAGCACACACGTTCCTGGGTTTACTCCTGGTCAGAGGATAGCTCATCCTCTGAAGAAGCTGCCCTGCATGAGGAGATAGCCACTGACAGCCAGTGCCCTCCAGCCCACACCAAAAGGCCAAAATTTCAAGTGCTGGGCTGCCAGGAGAGAGGGCTCTTCTGGGACATGCCAGAGTGGAACAAGCCACTGGTTCCCTCGCTGCCTACCTGCCCTGCCATTCCACCAGCAATCCAGAACGTGCAGTTCT